TCACCCGGCAATGCTACGAGGTCGGCTTTCCTGGCCCTCCATCCGGCTTGGTGGACAGAGGAGAAGGTCGGGATGGAGGATGACAACATTGAATGGGAAGCGGTATCAGGATCTGGCGAATTTTCGCGCGGCAAAGAAATGTGAAGGGGAAGGAGAAAAGAATACAAATATGCGTTTGCAAAGACTCATTTTTTTTGGAGAAGAAGGAGGAGGACGAGGAAGGGGACGACCGCGACGCACCACATGTACTCTCCACACCGCCTGCCAGGCCCAACGCAAACAACTTGGGACAGGGGGAAAACTTTGAGAATCAAAGCCAATTGTGGCAGGCAGTGACGCTGCCTGAGACTGGGTATCGAAAAAGGGGGCTTGACAATCAGAACGAAGTAAGGCGCATGCAAATGCATGCCCAGTTGTCGCATGCGTTATGGTGCATGTTCATGTTCGACGTCAACGACACAACAGAGACATGCAATACCCTGACAGCTTCAAGCAGCCCGAAATTGAAAACAGGGAGCGCGCACTCGACGAGAGACGAGCATGGTGGAGTGACAATTGCTTCAAATAGCTGTTCACTGTGTGAACGGGAGAGAAGAAGACGGATATACAAAACAACCGGACAGATCAGCAATATCGGGCAGCGTAAAGCAACGCGTGATGTCATGAGTAATACTTGCAAGCGGATTGCACAGTGGGTCCTCGTCCGCCTGATCGTGCTCATACGTCGGGTGTGCAAATTGTCCTTTGTCGCTCATGCTCCGCGGCAAATGTTCGAATCAACGTACACTGGAATGTCCACAAAGAGACGCTCCGACTAACACCACACCTACCCCAACACGTAGACTTTCCATAATCCAAAGCAGCAAACACGGCCTCACATAACACTTGGAAAACTTCCCAAAAGAAACACAATGACTAGAATCAGACAAAGCAGGCATTTGCCGCCATCCCAGCCGCCGATAGCAAACTCATGGGCGTCTCCCTGTCGCGCTGCACGGAGATCGATAAAGGCTCCTGGCCAACCACACGGTAGCGAAAAACAGCATGCGTACTAACGGACACTTGGACAAGGCCCGCCGGAGCACGCCAAGGCGGACAGAGCGAGACATCACGAAAGGCTGAACCCATCAGACACCTCCGTCACACAAGCCCACCAATACAAGGCCCCGTCGCCCCCGCTGCCCTCTGCTCCCACTCTCCTCCTCGTCCCCATCCTCCTCGCCCTCCACCTCCTGCCCCCCTCCTCATCTTCCCTCCCCATCCTACCACCCTCCTCCCTCGACCACCAAGAGAATCGCGGGGCCCTCCCCCTCATCCTCCCCCTCCTCCCCCTCCCTCTCCTAATCCTCAACCTCGTCCTCCTCCGCCTCCTGATCCTCCTCCCCCTTCCTCACACCACTCTTCTCCGCAACCTCCAAGCGGCCCTCATTGACTGCTTGTGGGAATCTCTATCTCGATACACTGCCCTGCTCCTGCACCTCCCTCCTCCACCCGATATGTCCTCATCAAGTCCTCCTCATCCTACTGCCCCTCCTGCCTCTCCTCCTGCTTCGCGGCTTGCTTCAACGCCTCCTCCTCCTCCTCCTCCTCCCATCTTCCCCCTGCCCCTCCGCGGCCAGCCCCTAGGTAAGCAGTGGGCGTCGAAACTTGCGGATGCTAAGGCTGGCTGGCTAGACTCCTGTCTACCCAGTCTCCTCGTCCTCCATATCTTCTTTCCTCATGCCTACCCAAGCTCAGTGTCCTCCAGATCTTGCTGCTGATGCTGCCGAGCATGGTCCTCCTCCTTCTCCTCCTCCTCCTCCTCCTCCTCCTCCTCCTAGCAACTCTCACTACTAATACTACTAGTCACAAGCCCAATCATGTACAGACCCATGCCGTATAATCGAAGTGTCTTCGTCATCCTCAATAGAATCGGCCTCAGCATTCTCACCGCACTCAGCATCAAAACCACCACCATCATCATCATCATCAGCATCATCATAATCATCATCATCAGCATCATCACCAGCATCACAATCATAGTCATCATCATCATGATCAGCATCGTCGTCGTCATCGTCATCACCATCATCATCAACAACACCAGTAGCCATATCACAATCATCGTGATCATCAGCATCATTAGCATCAGCATCATCAGCATCATCATCATCAGCATCATCATCATCAGAAAACCACCAACAACCGCATCCTCATCAGCATCTCCATGGCCCTCATCATCAGCATCGGATACAGCAGCAGCAACGACAGCAGCATCAACACAATCAGCTTCAGTGAAGTCCTCAGCATCATCGTCATCAGAATCGGCATCAGCATCATCAGCATGATCAGCATCATCATCACCATTATCATCATGTACATAATCGTCGGCATCATCAGCAGCATCAGCAGCAGCAGTAGCATCATCATCATCATCATCATCATCATCATCATCATCATCATCATCATCATCGTCATCGAATCGATATCACGATCAGCATCCTCAGCATCGTCGTAATCATCATGATCATCAGCATCATTGGCTTCGCCATCCTCATCAGTAGCCTCATAGTCTTTATCATCATCACCCGTATTATCATCGACAGCTTCGCCATCACCACATCATCAGCAGCAGCATCAGCAGCATCAGCATCGTCATCATCAGAATAATCAGCATCAGCATCATTGTCATCAGCATCACCATTCTCGCCAGCAGCATCGTAAGTATGTATCATCGTCATCATAGTCCGCATCCACGTCCTCGCCCCCTCCTCATCACAACCATCAGCATCAACATAATCATCATCAGCATCAGCATCATCATCATCATCATCATCATCATCATCATCATCATCATCAGCATCATCATCACCATCATCGTCAGCATCATCAGCATCGTCGTCATCAACATCATCGGCATCGTCGTCGATGTCGTCGTCGTCATTATCATCAACAACATCAGAATCCGCCGACCCCTTTCGGGTCTCTAGGCGTGTGAGATAGTTCCCCCCATACCCCCCCCCCCGGGACCCCAAACGGGCAATTCGACCGCCCCCCCTGGCCCGACACGACCCCGGACAATGCGCGCCAGGGGGGGGGGGTCCAAAACTAGCCAGGAAGGCACCAAGACGCCTCCTAGATGTCCCAAGAGGGCCACGAGTCGCCGAAATACCACTCCAACACGCTGACGATGGTCTCCAGACAGCATCCGATGCCGCCCAAAACACCCCAAGAAGCCCCGAAGATGCGTCCCAAGAGGGCCTCCCCCGACACGAAAATATAGTCTCATTCCCTTCGCAAAACGTGCATTTTAGATACACTTGCCTCTCCGGCGATCCGACCACCCAGAAGGCCCCATGACCGCCCCAAGACAGCCCAAGAGCCTCAAAGCGGGCTCCAGGACGGCCCAGGAGGGCCCCAAGACGGCCCAAGAGGCGCCCAGGACAGCCCGAGAGAGCCCCAAGAACGGGGCCAAGAGGGGGCTCAGGCGAGGGACGCAAACCGAAAGCTCCAGCCCTCCGCCCCAAGAAGCCCCAAGCTCCAGCCCTCCGCCCAGGCTCCAGATGCCCCAAGAGGTCCCCAAGAAACTCCAATGGGACCCCCAGGAAGCTTCCCGAAGGGCCCCAGGAGTCACGCAAAAGGGCCAAACGAGCCTCCTAGAGGCCCCAAAATTGCGCCCCAGCGGCCTCGAGCCTGCCTCCCTGGCCACAACACCCCGGCCCATGGTCGTCGTCGTCGTCGCCGTCGTCGCCTTCTTCACACCCATATCCTACTCCTCCTCCTCCTCCTCCGCCCCCGCCTCCTCCTCCTCCTCCTCCTCCTCCGCCTCCTCCACCCACCCCCCCTCCCCCTCCTTCTCATCCTCCGCCTCAGCATCCCCCTTTCCGCTTCGGCAGAATAGTTTATAGAGGGGTCGGCGGATGTGGCGTAAGCCTATAGAATCATCCTCATCATCAGCCGCATCGTTATCGGCTTCACCATCATCACAATTACCATCACCAACACCAACACCATCATCACCATCATCATCATCATCATCATCATCAACATCATCATCATCATCATCACCATCATCATCATCATCATCATCATCATCATCATCATCATCATCATCATCATCAGCATCGTCATCAGTATCATCATCAGCATCAGCATCAGCATAGTCGTCATCATCAGCAGCAACATCATCACCGCCTGCATTATCACTATCATCCCCTCTTTCCTCTTCACCGGAATGCGGCAGGGCCATGGCGAGAACGAGTGCTCCGAATGCCGGCTGCCTCGAGAGACCACAGACGGAGGAGGACAGAGGAGGGCGGTCAGCCGCGGGAAACCAGCGGGCAAGCGGAGGGCAGAGGAACGGAGAGCAGAGGATGGAAGCGGAGGGGAGGGAAGGGTGCAGACAAAGGAAGGAGGGGGGGGGAGGAGGAGGATGGAAAGGCAAGGATGGAAGGTGGAAGGAGGATGAGAAGGGGGGGATGGGAGGAGGATAGAAAGGAGGGGTGGGGAGGGGGCAAGACAGAGAGGGAAAGGGGGATGGAAGTGGAGGGGAGGGGAGGAGGAACGGAGGGGAGGGGGAGACAGAAAGGGAAGGGGGGAGTCGCTCTGGCCTGGTACTCGGCGGCCCCCCCGCGGCGAATCCGCCCTGCCAGGGAGGATCAAACGTTCACACTTCCAGACCTCGTGAGGCACGCTGTCAGCCTATCTTTAAGTCGGGGATGTCCCTCTACAGGAGGAATATTCAGAAATAGTCAAGAAATGCTCTGGGGACGATGTTTGTTGACTATTGTTGCATTGTTATGACTATGTTTCCTTCCGCCCAGAATCCGCCTTGAGGGGACATGCCCGACCTAAGCCTATCTGCGCGGCACAGACACGGCACAAGCGCAGGCAATGCCCGGGAAACGCAACCATTGAACAGGGACCAACCGTCCCGGCATTCCTATAGTCCTACCACTAAATGTTCTTAGAACCCAAAAACGGTCTAAGGACAAAAACAATGTTCTTAGGACATAAACCCG